ATCCACATTTGCGATACCATAGCCTCGAAGGTATTCCTCTGCGAGCTGTCGCTTCTTCTCTTCGCGAATCAGTTTTTTGTACGCTTTTCAGACACACAGACACGTCATGGAAGTGATGGCAGTGATGGCAGTGATGACTGAATGCATACCTTTATTGCTGATGAGATGCTTGCGGTCGAGAAACTCCTTCGGGATCTTCACGGACCACATGTTTGTGTCGCACTCACTGTCAGTCACTGTCAGAGTGTCACCAATGGGTCACTCATTCACTACTCATTGCAGTTGTCTTCCAATGACTCACTACTCGTCCACTCATACGACCACTGCTTTCACTGTCAATGCATTCACCGCTCATACACTCATACACTCATACACTCATACAGGTGTCACATATGATGAGCATTCAGACGACAATTATTACAGACAAACACTTACAGCACAACATAAGGCAACAGTTTATCTAAATATACATTCAATTCAGCAATTCATTGATTACAACTTTATTAAGTCTACAATAATGTTATATTCATATAAATTATGTAAACTAATTTTATATGTGTCTAATCTATATAACATTATTGTAGACTTAATACACTTGTAATCAATTAATTCCTTAATTCAATGTATATTTAGATAAACTTTTGTTGCCTTATGTGTCAAATGTAGTATTGAATGACAGTATTTGTTTGAATTCATTAAACATTAGTTTCAGTTATGTTTGTATTATAACTGTTATAATAAATAGTTTTTGCTCAATTTAATTATAAACGCGAATATAAATGTTTATGTTGAAATAAATTTATAATAAATGTAGATATGGAATAAGAATAGTCATTAATACAAATTGAAGCAAGTACAATATTCTTATAGCTTAGAATCAATGCATATATGCCTCAACATATAATACTAGTTTGCTGTTAGTCTAGACCTATGACAGAATATGCAGAATATTCCGTACTTGAGATGAATATACTGACAGTGAGTGTTAACTATAATATTCAGTGAAATGGTTGTGAATTGAATGGTAGATGAGATGTTGGTGTGAATGAAATGATTAACACTTAATGGTGTGTCTTATCACTGATGGACTCAATGATGGAAAGTATGGCTAATATTAATATTAATATTAATATGAATATTGAGTGCAATGATAGCCGTAATGACCGGTCGGTCAATGTGTTAGGCATACAGTGGTGTGAATGACGTCTGAGTGGACGCATGCGTGCACTGCGCGAGTGTTTTGACAATAATAAAGATTATGTAATAAATTAAAGGGTAATAAAAGTGTTAAGTGTTCAGTGTTTCAGTGGTTATAATGACAGCAATTGTGCCACAAATGTGAGGCACCGGCGTATGATAAGCTACTGGTGCTCACAATGCCCGGGAAGGTGAAGGTGAGGGTGTTGGCCGGACGTAATCTGCCGGTGATGGACAAGTCCAGCGACACGTCCGACGCTTTCGTCGAGGTTTGTACACTCTTGCCGTCCATCACATCCACTCACGGATCCATTGACTCCACCCTTACTGACCAGCCAATTGTCTGCTAATCTGATCCTTAGGTGAAGTTAGGGAACACGACATACAAGACGGAAGTGTATCGCCGATCGCTGAACCCCTTCTGGAACAGCGAGTGGTTCCGCTTCGAAGTGGATGACGAGG